CGACCTTCTTGCTGCGAGGCAACAATGCTAACCACTGAGCACCTTGCAGCCCTGGTCACATCATAATAGAAAATATCCCCAAATGTATTGCTTTAGGGAAATATATTTGTGTTTGATGCAATACTCACTTTGAGTAAACGTCCTTTGCATTATTTTTGTACAGACCCTCTAACACACACTCTCAACCGTCTGGTGTTGTCCAGGCATGTTCAGTAAGTAGGGGAGGGGACTTGAAATCCTGAAATCAACATAAAGAAAAGATATCAAATGAATTTCATCAAGTTACTGCGATTCGAATTTAGTTTGAAATCAACTCATGCAGAAATGTGAATTTAAATGACACACAGTATTAAACACAAACCACCAAAATATTGTTTGAACCATAAAAGCTTGATCTAAGTCAGTTACATGTTTTTTAATCTTGCAGTTATGCATTTTATGAATTAGTTGGAATAGGTCCCTTTCCTTTTTTTTAAATGTAGGAATTGTGTATATTGGATATTGTATTAAAATTAAATCTAATATTTACATTTAGTGCTAATGCATGAAGTAGTTATATGTATGAGTGGGACGTAAGCGTGTGGAGGAACAGGTGGGTCATGTTCATGTAGGACTTCATGGAGTGGATTTTGCATTTTGTCACTAATTAAGACTTGTTAATATAATAAACTTTATTTGTTTAGCACTTTTTAAGAATAGAATTCACAAAGTGCTTTACAACACACAGAGACGAGGGAAACAACATGTATAAAAGTACACAAAAACACCCTAAATATAAAAATACATACAATAAAATCCAAGCACCTTCACGCTCCTGCAGGAGGAAATATGGGCTTCAGATTTTGCCTTGTCAACAGAAGACCTGTCAGTCGGGTTTAGGAGCTCATTGCAGTGATTGCTCCACTGCCTTCCAATATCCCCGGTCCAGGTCAGCACTTCTCCCCCTGGTTTGCCAGAATCCCCAATTTTGTGCCAGCATGACCCACTGGGTCCCCAACAGGACACAGGCAGTGTGTCCATTAGTGTGAAAGCTCAGTGACTTTGGCCTTACCTTTCTGAATAATACTTCTGTTGCATGGTGGATGGAGAATCAGTCTTTGTCTCTCTCACTGTGTTACTGTTTCTTTTCCTTTCTGTAGGTCTGGGTGACGAATGGGGGCAGACAACAAGGTTCAGTCCTCTGGACAGCATAGCAAAAGAACTGGGTTCTCACCTTTTACAAGTCAGTACACAAAACAACAAAGCATGCTCTAGCACTGCAATACACTCCTTTATCTTCTTCTGTAGTGTACTGGTGCCTTGTACCAAGTTATATTACTGTATACTAGCATATGCTATGATTTGATATTAGAGAGAGAAGAAGAAAATAGTGTATCGGCTAAAACTGGTGTTACAGACTGAAGGTATTACATTTATTAAATGATGAAATTTTATTTTGTGTTTCCTCAAGAAGAACAAGGGATCTTAACATACTTTTTAAAAGTTTTTATTGTTGTTGTTTAAATCAGACTTCAGTTTAGTTTTTTGATGGTGTACCTGTACACCCTGGCTTTACAAAAATACTAAATAGTCTCAAGAGAGACGGTAGAGGTAAATAGCGTATATTTTTAACTGGTAGATATCAACATCAAACTCCCTTTATTACTTACATTAATCACTTGAAAGTGTGACAGATGACAGCCACACTGTTGGTATCCTGTCTGTTATTAAAGAGAGAAGAGTCTCTTTAAGAAGGCAGTGTTCAGTAATCACACTGCTCCACAAATGAATATAGTTTGTATTAAACATTTGCTGAAACTGATCGTTTAAATATGTCAATGAGGTATTATATATCGAAAAATGTCATAATGTGCAATTATTCCACAACTCTGAAAAACTGTCTGAAAAAAATCACAATGTTTGTCGTATAAATTACTACTATTGGAACAAACCCCTGAGTAGAAGCCCTTAGAACATATATAAAAATAAAACTGCAAAGTATGGCAACTGAAGGGGAGATTTCTATGTTTGTCTATGTCAGAATATGAGGAGAACTCATTTGTGATTCCATACATTTTTTTATTAGAAACCATTACATACTGGAAAGATCTTCTAGCTGTGAGGCGACGGCACTAACCACTGAACCAGTTATTATCATAACTGAGATTCAGAACAATACTGTTATTATCAGAGTATTTATATTAGAGTACCAGTAGTAGCCCTGCACCACATTGTCTGATACATTACATGGGAGACAAGATTTCTGGGGCCTCATTTATCATCAGTGCGTAGAAAAGGTTCTAAATTCGGCCTTACAAATGAAATTTATAATGTGCGTAAGTACAAAAAAATTTGTGTTCATCAAACATTCGTATGTGGGTTGTACACACATCAGTAAGTCATCAGTGTTGACAAATCCACTTGTTCTTAACCGCCGTGCTCGTACACTTTCACCATCATTTGCCTTCAGAAACTCCTCCAATTAACCATATATGGCAACAACACGCCTTTTTATAAAGCAAGTAAGGCTTCCCCCCGCTTCTTTTTTCTTCGGGTTTTTTAGTTTTGGCCTTTTGTTGGCTTGTTGCCTTTTCCGGGTTTTCCCTTGTTTCCGCCTTAGTTCGCTTGGGGTGGGTTCCGGCCCCCCTGTGACCCTAGTGAGGATTAAGTGGTGTATAGATAGTGGATGGATGGATTTTAGCCTTTATGCTTAAGTGCAGTCACAGAGAGACAGGGAGGGTGGGGAAAAGAGGGGAAAACTATTCAGCAAATGATACCATTGGTTGGAAACAATCGATTACCCACGTTGGGTAATGGCAACAGGTGAAGCAGGTTATTCTAGAAGTCCCTCCCCCAGCAAACCTCTCTGGATCTTCCTGGGGGATCCCGAGGCATTCCCGGGCCAGATGAGCTATATAATCTCTCCAGTGAGTTCTGACCGCACCACCTTAACTGGGTACTTTTGATGCAAAGGAGCAACAATTCTACTCAGAGCTCCCTCTGGATGTCTGAACTCCTCACCCTATCTCTAAAGCTGAGCACAGCGACCCGATGGAGGAAACTTCCTTCAGCTGCTTGTACCTGCCACCTCATTCTTTTGGACACTATCCAGAGCTCATGACCATAGGTGAGGGCTTGAATGTAGATTGAGAAGAATCTCTCTTTACCACGACAGCTTGGCACAACGCCAACATTACTGCTGATGCTGATTCAAGACACCTGTCCATCTCTTATGAACACAATCCCCAGGTACTTGAACTTCTTTGCTTGGGGCAGCAACTCCCCCCAAACCAAGAGAAGGCAATCCACCAGTTTCCGGCCGAAAACCATTGCCTCGGACTTGGAGGTGCTGTCTCTCATCCCAGGCGTTTCACATTCAGCTGCACACTGCCTAGTGTGCGCTGGAACCTCCACCCTGATCTGCCACTCTGCCGACACCATGCTCAATGTCCACATGACAATGAAGACGCATGTCGGTCAAGACCCAACAATGTCCAGAGCCTTCAGCATCTGAGTGCAAACTTCATCCACACCTGACGCCTTGACACTGAGGATTTTTTTTTTGGACTGCATTAGTGACATCTGCCATGGATATGTATGAAGTGTCCTGTGAGTCTTCAGGCTCTGCCCCTCAGCAGAGGATGTGCTAAGCGGCTTGAGGAGCTCCTTGGAGTGTTCTTTCCAGTCGTAGTAATATCTAATAAAATCCTAGAAAAAGTATTCATTTGCATGCTGACTTAATCCCCCCCAAAAACAAACAAGAACAGGCCACTGTCAATAATGTCCACATCAAAATATGTATTTTAAAAGAAGTAATTCAGTTTTTTATAATGTCCTCAGTCTGGTTTAGCAGTTCTCCCCCCTGGCTGTACATAGCCTGGGCCAAGCCCTGCTTCCCCTTCCTGAGGTGCCACATGGTTTTCCAGAACCTCCTTGAGACCAACCAAAAGACCTTCTCCATAGCCTCTCTGAACTAAGTGTTTGTTTTTGCAACTGCCGCAGCTGCAGCCCTTTTGGGCCCCCAATAGATATCTGCTGCTTCAGGAGACCCCCGAACAACCAGCACCAGTGATCTTCTGACCTCTGCTCCTAACCGCCTCTTGTGCAAAATAAACTGTGACCATAGCCTACTTGGAATTCATGTCCCCACCCTTCCCCATTATGCAGGAGAAACTCTTCCAGAGGTGGGAGTTGAACCCAACTCACCTCCACCTCATGCAATAGCTCAGGTTCCTTCCCCGTCAGTGAGGTGGTACTCCATGCCCCCAAAACTGTAATTCATTCTACTAGATTTAAACAAAACGGTATGTCATAGGAGAATGTATTCTGACCTGACCAAAAGGTAAATAATACAAAAATGTCTACATTAAACCGTTTATGAAGAGCGTCTGCTTAAGAACAAAATTTTAAGAGACAGGTTTGTTTTATTTTTACACCTCTTGGTCACATAACTTTAGAAAAAATAAAAATCATTACCTTTACTAACTTCTGTTGTAACTCTGCTCCCTCAGACTCTGGATGGCTTTGTGTTTGTTGTGGCCTCTGATGGTAAAATCATGTACATTTCTGAAACAGCATCCGTCCACCTTGGTCTGTCACAGGTAAGACTCCTTCACTTCAGCAAGCTTTCTGACATGCTATCCTATGGACATAGATCAGTTAATTCTATACAACTAATGATTTGGAGGTATAAACACAAAACACGAGCACACACAGTAACATTAAACTATTTGAAAGACTGCAGAATATTTCAGATGTTACTTTTGGATTTACTACATTTCTATATTTGCCTTGCATTGTGGTTGATTAGTTGTGTAACACATCCGAACATATTCATGAGCACATGCTGGAAATGTGTGTGCTGCAGGTGGAGCTAACAGGAAACAGTATATTTGAGTACATCCACCCATCAGACCACGATGAGATGACGGCTGTTCTGAGTCTTCGCCAACCCCCACACCATCACTTCTCTTCAGGTACTTTAAGGCTGCCAGTCCCCAGGTTCTAGTCTGAATTCTGAACTGGTGGTATTTCATGTTTTATTCTTCAAGTGCATTACAGATCCTGTTGGACCACATGTTTTGGTGTGACGTAAACATTCATGACATGAGATACTAGAGACATAAACCTGAAATGTGCTGATGTTAATTGATATCACTGTACATGTTACATATAAACCCATGCTCCTAGCTGCAGATTTCAGATGCTGTGTGTCTAGACAACAATTTGAATTTCTGGAAAAAAAAAGTCTTCATTTGCTCACCTGTTGCTGTCATGTACTTAAATGGTTAGAATATGACCCTATATGCATACCTGTTGTCTCGATAAATTCAGTATAAAGGATGTTTCCAGGCACTAGATCCATCAGCGGGTGGAAAGTAACTATGTACATGTACTCAAGTACTGCACTTAAGTACAATTTTGACGTACTTGTATATTATTTGAGTATTTTCATTTAGTACCACTTTGTACTTCGACTCCGCCACATATCAGAGGGAAATATTCTACTTTCTAGTTTTATTTGACTCACTTCTTTTAAGGTGAAGATTTTACTCAATGGATATTATTACAAGTTTAAGATAAGATAAGATAAGATAAGATAAGATATGCCTTTATTTATCTCACAGTGGAGAATTTCACATCGTTGGTAGCAGCTTTCGACAGAGTTACACTTATACGAGACAGGAAAAAACAAAAAAATAAAAAATGTACATATAAATATAAGAAAAGTACACTGTTGAAGTCTAAATCAGTGGTTTTGGATCTTTCCACGGGCCTTCCTGGCTCAGAATTGGCCCTTGGGGGGGTGGCTACACACACCAGTAAGATTGAATTAGAGGCAATGATACAGGCTTGAATAAATGTGACTGTTGAGTATCATGTTCTTCATGTGGAATGCAGTATTAGCTTTACAGCAGATGTAACGGGACCCATGTCTTCCAAAAAGTTCCACCTTTGACTCATCAGTCCACAGGATGTTCTCCCAAAAGTTTTGGGGCGCATCCAAATATTTTTTTTGCAAATACCAGATGAGCCTTTATATTCTTTTTGGTCAGAAGTGGTTTGTACCTTGCAACTCTCCCATGGAGGCTGTTTTTGCCCGGTGTCTTCTTTATTGTTGAGTCATGTCAATTTATAACTCATTCAAATTCATAACTGAAAGCCTTTTAACAGAAAGTTGTACTTTGGGATCTCAGCATACACTGCTTTGATTTTTACTATTTTGACCCCTTTGTTAATTTATAAAGACAATATTGTTGGAGGGCTGCAAGGTGGCTCGGTGGTTAGCATTGTTTCCTCGCAGCAAGAAGGTCGCCGTTCTCTCTGGGTTCTCCAGCTTCCTCCCACACAGTCCAAAAACATGTTGAGGTTAACTGGTGATCCTAAATTGTCCGTAGGTGTGAATGTGAGTGTGCTTGGTTGTCTGTCTCTAAGTGTAGCCCTGTGATAGACTGGTGACCTGTCCAGGGTGTCTCCTGCCTTTGGATTAAGTGGTGTATAGATGATGGATGGATGGATGGATATTGTTGGGTTAGTAGATGGAGTGAGTTGCCTTTAGTTTTGTAGGGTGGGCTAAAGGGTACGTTTTACAATCCTTGAAATGATTCGGGTTGGCTTTTGACGTGGTGGTTAAGAAGTTTCTGACTGACTGTCTCACACCAGGATGACCAATACAGACCATTAAACCATGAGACAGCTTTTTATAGTGTTTACAGTGTAAATGTGTAATAGTCATAAGGTTCTTCCAGTCATGTTTACATAAGTCAGACAAGACAACACACTACGCTGGAGAGGCTGAACAGTGGAATTTAGGTAAGGGCAGTGGTGGCAGCCGGGTAAACATTATAAGCATCTCTGTTGGTCCCTACGGCCTCTGCTAAGTAAGCTGCACATACATATATAGTTTTGTACAAACAAATAATAGGAACAAGTGTTGCTGGTGACCACAGCGCTGGGATATTATATCCTATAAACACAATGTACAATATAATGTGATTAATGTCTAACATGTGCTTTTTGGACAGATTATGAAATTGAACGTTCCTTCTTCTTGAGGATGAAATGTGTTCTTGCTAAACGAAATGCAGGACTGACGTATGGAGGATATAAGGTATGTACAACCACTGGATTGTTTTTATTTACTGGTACCTTGGGGTCTGGGTCACACAACCATAAGCTTATGTATCAAGGCTCATTTAACTGACCTTAGGATGAGCCGTTGTTCAGCTGGAGATGTCCTGGACCTATATTGTTCTCTGTGGTTCTGACGGGCCTTTTGGAAATCAGTTAACCATTAATTTGCAGTAACTAGACATAAATATTACATATATGGTGTGATTGTATAGTACAACAAGCGCTTTGTATACATTGCTATGTAACACGGGGGGCTCTTGCTGTTCAAACAGTCCCTGCAGTAGTCCCATGACAGCAATGCTTCTCAGCGCTGTGGTGAACACACAAACAAGAGGTCATGGCCACCCCTAAAATCTCAGTGACCACCGCCTCGCTACATCAAACCTAATAGGTAGTGGCCCAGTTCACTGAATGAAACTATGATGTTGAAGTTTCAGTGAATGCAACTGCTGTGTGTTAATCAGAATGACAGCAGCATCAGATAATCATATCAGAGTCAGAACTAAAGTCGTCCTTAAATGTGTTCATACCCTCCCATTAAAGAAGAAATAAACAGCTGTCACTGAAAGAAGTTGAAACTGACAAAAACAATAACAAATAAAAATTGTATGAAAGTCATGACATTGCTTTTGAATTGTGGGTCAACAGAAATATAAAAAAACACACATCAGATAATTAGTAACATTAACTGTAATTTTTTTTTTTTAAAGTATGTGATGTGGCATCTGGATATTAGTTGCACAGTAGAACAGCAGCAGCACAGTACAGGGACAAATGGTAGTACCTAGGTTGAACACAATGACATGTGAGGATGTTGTGTTTCATACTGTTGTTTCTCAGGTCATCCACTGCAGTGGCTATCTAAAAGTGCGTCAGTACATGGTGGACATGACGCTGTACGAATCCTGTTATCAGACTGTGGGTCTGGTGGCAGTCGGTCACTCCCTGCCCCCTAGTGGCATCACTGAAATTAAACTCTACAGCAACATGTTCATGTTTCGGGCCAGCCTGGACTTTAAACTCATCTTTTTGGACATGAGGTAAGAGAGAGATAAAAGCCATAATATCATGAAGTCACATCACACAAAAATGATCAAATTACACATTAACCCTTGCATCTGTAAGATAGCAAGTGAACCTCATGATGCATAATGATGTTCAAATCAGCCCCTGACTTGCTCTCTCTTCTCTGTGTGCTGGAGCCAGGGTGGCAGAGCTGACAGGCTACGAGCCTCAGGACCTGATAGAGAAGACTCTCTACCACCATGTCCACGCCTGTGACATTTTCCATCTACGCTATGCTCACCATTTATGTGAGTCCTTCAGAACTTTTGTGAAACTTACAGGGTGGGAAAAGCCAGTTAGTGGAGGGTAAGTGAAAGTTCATGGACAACAGCAGATGGAGACATGATGTAGCCGGATGAATGGTGTTTTGGGACTGGCACAATACAGTTGCTAATATATCAAACCTTGTATCTATGAATGGAATGTGAAAAACAGTTAAGAAGTGTCAACTTCGTTGAACGACTGATGGCCCTTCCTAACTCTCAGGATCTGATTTTACCAGCATTCTCTCTTTGAACCTGATCTTTGTGTTTCCTGTAGTACTGGTGAAGGGTCAGGTCACCACTAAGTATTACCGCATGCTATCAAAACATGGAGGCTGGGTGTGGGTGCAAAGTTACGCCACGATCGTCCACAATAGCCGTTCCTCCAGACCTCACTGTATTGTCAGTGTGAACTACGTACTCACGTGAGTTAGCACCCTCCCTTTGTATTTCTCCATGTAAAACATCTACTTACACCAGTTCCAAGATGCACTGTGTATGTCTGTCTGTCTGCACACAGTGACGCTGAGTGCAAAGAGTTGCAATTATCTGAAGACCAGAGTAAAGCCAGCCATCCTGGTCTCAGCCTCACTCCCGCTCAGGACCACCGCAAACAACTCAGAACCAAAGCAGTCAAGATGAAGACCAAACTCAGACCAGCTCCCTATCCTGAGGTGGGACTTTGATTCAACAAAAATGTGACTTTTGGTGTGAAATTCATATCTTGAAAGTATAACTAAAGTTGTAAACAAAAGTTTGCATACACTTGTAAAAACCATGCATACCATGGCAGTCTTGAGCCTACAATAACTTCTACAGCTCTTAATTTTTTTTAATGATAGAATCATTAGAACATGCAGCATATTCATACAGCACATTGAATGACCAGCTTTGGTGATGTAGACAGCTGCAGGAATCACATTTTCTTAGTAGTTGATTACAGCTGCTGAATACTATGAACCAATTTAAAAGAGGCCAACCTGATGCACTCCTTAGACTCAGCCACAGTCGCTACAATTGGAAAGTTTGAAAGTTTTCAAAGCAGCTACGGATCAGATCCATCAATCATCTGTACAAACAATTGTTTGTAAGTACAGTTGTGGTTCGGGTCAAAGATAAACCAGAAGCTTGTCAGAAGCCTGTGTACTGCTACAAAAAGCACCCAGTTGAGGTGTAAATGGCCAAGGGACATTTAATATTAGCATTGCTCCATGTATATTTTAGAGTCAGCAGGATTTGTCATATTTCTAAAAGACCTATATTACATTTATGAAAGAAATAAAATGCATGATTGTTATCTGTGACAAAGACACGTATTTCAATGAGTCCATCATAGAATACTAAGAACCGAAGGAATCATCGGAAACTCAAGACTGCGACGATATGCATCGTCTTCACAAGTGTTTATTTATGACTGTACTTTATTATCATAGATTATAGCAAAACTAGGGGACACGCTTCTGTGTCATGTACAGTTTAAACAAAGAAATATTTTAAAAAAGACTTTCAAATGTAACAACACAAACTGAGACAGCAATAGAAGCTTTGGGTAATTAGTCTTTGCAAGCTTTCTGATTTTTACGTCCGCTTCAAGCCTTAAGATCTGTGCAATGCTCAGTCTTCTCCTCATTCTTATTGGGGCTTGTTTGGGAGCCTGCCAGTCACTGCTGATCCTCAGGCAAGCCTTCCCCCAGAACCCAGCCACTCACCTCACCTCTAATCAACATCACACTTCCTTTGTTTTCATTTCATTTAGCAGACGCTTTTATCCAAAACGACGTAAATCTGAGAGTAGTTACATATTCATACACCGATGGTGACAGAGCTGCCATGCAAGGTGCTGCCTGCCACTAGGAGCAACTTCGGGTTCACTTTCTTGCCCAAGGACATTTCGACTGGAGGGGCAGAGGATTGAATGACCAACCTTGCGATTCGTGGACAGCCGCTCCACCACCTGAGCCACACCTGCTTCCTCACCTAATAAACAATTTTGTGCAGCTCACTGATGGTGTGGTCCTTGCTTCTTTCTTGTCTATTTCACAACTCTCTTTTCAGCTTCCAAAATGTCAGATTATTTAGTTGATTGTCAGACTTTCTCTTATGTTTACGTAAATGAGACATCTCTCCATGGATGGCTATTACACACCTACTACTACAAATACAGAAATATAAGTGCTATTGTGAAAGAAACAGTGACCTTTTCTATCGTGTGTTTCTTTATGGATAGCAACCGTTGGACCGTCTGAGCTGCTCTCCACAGAAGGGGCTGAGTAAGGAGAGATCCTTGTACCTGCTGACCCAGCAAAGATCCAGCTTGAGCACTGAAGCAAGCCAGGGTTCCTGCAGCCCTGCTTACAATCTGACCCTGCACTACCCCTATAACTACCTGCCTCTGGGTGCTCAGAGCCAGCTGCATGGCTCAGTTCCTTCTCCTCAGCTCCCCCAGCAGATGGTTGGCCCCCTGCACAGAAGAGGACCTGTTGGATCGCACGTCAAATACCTAGGTACACTGATTATGTTACAAGGTCTAACTGGCATGACTGAATCTCATTCAGAGGGGATTCCACTTTCTGTAGATTTGTTTTCTCTATTAATTATCTTTAATTTCTGGCAAAATTCCCACAATATGTAAACAGTTCCAGGGGAATTTACAGCGGTCATAGATAAAACTCCTGACACCATTACCAGTCACATCTCCAACAAAAATTAGGCCGCTGAGAGGACAAACAATGTCCATGTGTATACACCACATATGACGGTGGTTTCAAATCTGTCTGCTGGTGGGAATGTTTACATAAAGCTTAGCTTCTATTTGTGGAATTCTTGCTAACACCTAAAACACTGTGTGAACACTTACACATGTTGTTGTAGACAGTGGCGGGCCGTGCATTTAACCACCTCTTAACACTGTCGTTATGACGCCACGGATATAGAAACCATCAGTATTATGCAGAAAGGCAGCATAACAGGATGTTGCATCACAGACGGGTGTCTCATGTAACGAGAATGAATACCACCACTAAAGCAAGAAACCCAGTTAAAACAATCCAACAAATCTCCATTAACTGCAGCCATAGGATTCTCACCACTATTTCCCTGAAAAAACTTGCTGTGTCTTGGCCCACTATGCTGTCTTTCAAGCTGTGTGTGTGGAAAATTTGACATATTTTACAGTAAAACATGTAAATTTCTCTAAGAAACTCGCTTCTCTATAGAATTATATTTGTGCCACAATCCTGAGCGCGCAATGGGATTTTTTTTTTTTAAGTTATTTTTTTGGCCTTTCTGCCTGTTTTGGATAGGACATCTGAGAGGGACATAGGAAAGTGGGGGAGAAGAATGGGGGAAGGACTTGCAGCAAAGGGCCATGAGCTGGATTCAAACCCATGGCCGCTGCAACGGGGACTATAGCCCCTGTACATGGGTCGCCAGCTCAACCAGTTGAGTGATAGTGGCGGCTTTATGGGAAATTTTGAGCGCAGAAAAAAATCTTGAGCAAATAACAACTTGTCATAAGCAAACAAAAATCTATCCAATCAGCTGGCTATTTCAGCCGCCTCTTGGAAGCACTTTAAAAAGTGATGCAAGGAGTTTGGGCCAGCAGAGAAGGCCTTGCTGGCCCTGACGGCACACCATGGTTGTAGACAGTGATGGCGTTGGGTTCATCAGCACTGACTGAAATTCTCACATTTCATTATAAGCACTCAAGAGTTTTGCAGCAGAGCAGAGTTGTTGTTGTTGTTTCAGTTATTGTGTAAATCTGCTCCTGAATGTTGTTTTTCTCATCAGGGCCTGTACTGGCAGCGAAAAGTGGGTTCTGTCATGATTGTCCCAGCAGCAGAAGCCCTTGTTCTACTACCAGGCTGAAGAAAGAACCCTACGAACATAACTCGCTTGTCCACAGCAAGATGTCTGAGGTTTGTCCATATCTTCAGCCTCATGGCACCAAGGAGAACAGGCCTGTAGGCCAGGATGCCCAGCATAGTAAAAGAGTTCCTGGGGGACTTCGAGGGGACCAGGCCCTGGCCTGTCCTCTGCTTGGTGGCCTGGTACTGGATAAAGATGAGAAGGGTAGCTCATTACATGGTGTAGGCCAATCACTCCCTGTGCAGTTATTGCTGGAGCAGAAAAGGAGGCTTTGTATGATGGAGAATCCATACAGTCAACAAGGTGCTGGACATCCACAACCTACTGATGGCCATCAGCAATACGGGGCTGCAACAGACCTGCAGTCCATGTCTGCTGAGGAGGACAGGAGAATGACAATAGGTATGAGTGCAGGGTTGGGACTTCCACCTCAAGCTCCATATATGTCTTTGAAGTTTCACCAAGTCTTGGGCAAACATGATTCTATTAAAGCTCTCCCTTTTACCACAGTAAGCCATATAACAGATGGCCATGATTACCAAGATAAAGAGACAGCCTCTTACAGCCCTAACAGCCAGAGTTCCAGCTCCAGCTCATCCCCTGAGAGCCACAGAGATATCCTGCATTACATCGGCACATCTGTCATTATCACAAATGAGAGGTGACCCAGGACAGAAGCTCAGGAGACTCCTTTCAGACGTGGAACATTGCTGGTTTCATCAATCTGTTCAAGTGACCGCATTCTCGCCTTTCAGACATTGGTCACTTTTCTGTTAATGGTCCTTACGGCTGCATTTAGATAGACTCCCACAGTGCTGGAGAGAGCTCCGGTATGCACACAATATCTGTCATTCACACTAGTCAATACATCAAATGATATATGATACATACTACTAGGTCCGACCTATGTGGCCGTGCGACTTTTACAGTAACATGATCAAGGTGTACATTCAGACAAAAAGGCCTCTGGGTCATGGGAACCCTAAGAGCTTCAGTAAAAAGAAACTGGACTTCAAGTTCTTGAAGATGTTTCACTTCTTATTCAGGAGGTTTCTTCAGTTCTGATTGACTGATGGGGTGTTTCAGATGTATGTCATTTCAGCTCACATGGCTAATGGCCCATATATATATGTATGTCTTCAGAATTATATATGCTTGTGATAAAAGTCTCTCTGTGTGTTTGGCTGTGACAGAGAGAAGGGGGGTGTTTGTGTCCCATGTGTGTGCATTTTCCACAAACACTTGAGATTTAATGTGCTCCTCTTTATTTATCAGACTAAAACAGTTAATTGTGGTATGTTTGGGGGAGAGAAAGGTTAAAAGTGCAACTTATCTGTGGTTTTCCTCAGAATTTACACTTTATGACTCCAATCACGTTCTGGTGGAGGTGGGCGATGTCATGTTGTCTCCAAAAGGGCCGGGAGTGGTCATTCTGTAATTAACATTTGATGTTGATGTTCCATCTGAATGAAAGATTTACGGTAGCTGTCTTCTCGAATGGTCTCTTACCAAATGTACAGCTCTGAGAAAGGGTCTCTGGATTCTCTGTGTTGCCTTGGAATATTCTGCACCTCAGTCTGCTACAACCAGTACCTCATTTTGTACTCAGTGAGAAAAGCCTTTGTATAACATTGTAATATTCATACATGGAAATACCTGACTAACATCATCGAGAAAGTCTTAAGTGCTTTTATTAGCTCACTGTGTAAGTGTCTCAGACAGCCTGTAAAGGGTCAGAAAACTTTGGATTCATTTGAAAAACACACCTTACCTGAAATATGTATGTTGTCCCTGAGTGCTCGGTGAACTGCAACTTAAAAAGGAAAGGCAAATAGACATAACACAATAAAGTAAGAACACATATTCACTGACTGACAACACATTCATGACATTTAGAAACAATGCTGCAAAGAAAGAAAACACACCCAAATTCAGAAATACTGCAGAGTTAGTGGCACAAATCTGTAATAAAATGTGAATCATTCAATCAGAATGTTTTAACAACCTCGAAAAATATTCAATTTTAGCTCATTTCTCAACACCATTGTTGAAGTATTGATTTTAAGTAACTTCATGGGTCACCAAAGCAGCAGGTGTGCTACATCTTTGTCCCTCTTTAGTGCCCTTGGATACATATCTGCTGTAGTCTTAACTAACTGCCGTTTGTTTGAAGTGAGTTCATTTCATGTGCAGCCTACATGTTGACAAACTGGTAAAGATTTTTTCGTAGTTTGCTTCTGCTTCATCTGTTTCTCGTGTTGCTTAGACTGAAATGTGCCGAATTGTTGGGGCCACTATTGTGGTATTAGCAATGTTTCAAGATTTCATTGTGGTGTGAAGCATACATCAATAAACAGAAATATGCCACAAAAACTGCCATCCATCCATTATCTATACGGCGCTTAAGCCTCATGAAGGTCACGGGGGGCTGGAGTCTATCCCAGCTGACTCAAGACGAAGGCAGGTTCACCTGGACAGGTCACCAGTCTATCACAGGGCTACACTTAGAGACAGACAATCAACAGTTAACCTCAACATGTTTTTGGACTGTGGGAGGAAGCTGGAGAACCCAGAAAGAACCCACACTGCCCGGGGAAAACACGGAGACTCCATGCAGAAAGGCCGCACCCAGGTCGGGATGCAGGGATCCAGACCAGGGATCTTCTAGCTGTGAGGTGACGGTGCTGACCACCAAGCCAAACTTCATCTTTTTAAATATGTTTTCAAAAATGAAAAAGGGACAACTATTTTGGCATACAAATTGTTTTATAATTCCTGTACTGAGTCCAAACCATTAAGAGACAACCCTCCAGTGTATATATATGTGTGTGTGTGTAAAACCTTTATGTTCTTACTGTCTGACATTAAACCAGACTAAACTTTTCCTGTTTTAGGTCAGTTAGGATTTCCTACATTATTTCTATTTGCTAGTTTGGATTTGAAATCTATCTTTTGGGACACCAGTCCTGAAACTTTTCTGACACACCTCGTATATATTTTATTTACCAATGAACACTGATTTTTTTATCAGGACTGTGAAAATAATTTGAGTAAATATCAGTAAAGAAGAGCTTGTAACAACAATAACGAGTAAACTAATACATATAATACACAATGCATATGATGCACTGATAAAAATGTATATTATGGCGATAATAACAACTTAATGACAACAATGTGCAACACAACACACACACACACACACACACACACACACACACATACAAGATCAAGTAATGTTACTGAGACACGCAGACACATTTATATTTTATAGACTATAAGAATTTGAAGGACTTTGAGAGGTGATTTGGTGCTAAATGTACTTTTTTATACTGGCCTACAAGCAGTCAGGATCCCCACCAAGGATTACAGGTATTGACTAAGTCTGACGTCTGTCTTGTTGTGGTGTCTAAGTGCAGCCACACAAAGCTCTGAGTGCACTGTTAGCGACACTGTTAGCGTGGTTGTCCTTCCACTTGAAATCTACCCACAGACAGCTCATCACAAAGACCAGAACTTTAATGCCAGACTGCTAATGTTATTAGGAGCATGTAAACAGGGTTGGTTGCACTGGATTCTTCTGGGATGAGATCCTTTTTGAAGGTGAGCCAAGTAACTCTGCTCTTCCACTGAGGAGGCTCTGCACGGGCTGTCAGGCAGTTAATACAAAAAGGGATAGAGTCCTTTTGACCCCGGCATCCTGCAGACTCAAATTATTTAATAGGATGTTGGGAGTATAGATCCAACAGTAAGCCATTTGCTTAATAACCTTCACATTGCTTTTGGCACTGAGAAACATTTTTCACCTCCTTGCACTTATTTCCATCTCGTGTTTGTCATTCCCTACTTCTATACACAATAGTTTTACACCGAGTGTATTAGTAACTGATTTTAGTTTTATGCTGTAATCAAATTACATAGTATAGACTATTAGAATGAGAATGAAATCATTTATACAACACTGTGAATGTTTCAAAGGCAGCAATTTGACATGGGCTGTCTGATTGCAATGCTGATGCTGTCATGGCTGAACTGGTTAACACTTGGGGTGTTCTGAGCCTTTGTCGTGGATCAAGATCGGGTCTGATTCCAAGACAGCCACTCTGGTGACACTGACAACTCAGATTTCATTCTTGACACACTTCACAAACCCACTAATCTCACTCAGGAATGTGCCCTGTGCCCACGAATATTGTTCTTTGTGCTTGTGTCGTGCTCATGGCCAGGATTTCCATGTGTACACATCGCCATACATTTCATACTGTGAGTGTGTTTTGACCAACAAAACAATAATAACCTTGTTGGCTTACAGCAGCATAGTTTGGTCACAAACGTAGTATGAGCCCAGTTTTCAAAGGGGAACTCCAATCACCCTCCAGCCTGTTCCACTGAAAAACACCCAATGTGTTTATAGCAGCAGCAACACACTGTTCTTTATTTACTATTTACTGCATCTTTATTACTGTTTGTTTGCTCCCATGTAACCCAACAACAGAATGTAAGACTGTACTCTCTTCAGCTCTTCATGCGTAATAACATGATGTTGATCACTGGCCTTTTCTCCCAATAACAATTTTGACTACAATAACAGAAATGTGGGTACAAATATCCTGCGTGCCACTCATCATGTCATATCCAGATGTAAACTCACCATACCATGTAAATTCATCAGGTCTTGTACATTGTCTCTATGAGACCATATTTATAGTTTTTTTTTTTTGCCTTATTGTACTTTTTGTAATTATTTTCCTGCTTTTTCATGCTTTATCTGTATCCAGCTACTGTAACATTTACATTTCCTGGTAAGGGATCAATAAAGTTTACTTATCATATCTGACTGTATGATACTGCAGTTAACGTTTTGTGTATCAGATTCCCAAGCTGATGTTTAAATGTGGTGTCTGTCTCTAACCTGTCTGACTGTCTGTAACCTGTCTGTCTGTCTGCATTCACTATGCCTGCATTATGCCAATCCTACATAAAATGGGGCAAAAAGTGTTGTGTCTGTTCAACAGTCTTTAATGATATATGACACTGCATCTTAAAGTCATTGCTTTCAGAGAAAATTACTATTTACTAATATGCTAGGTTTACTATGAGATGTAAACAAACTTCCACACATTGTGAGTGACAATCTTTGTGTTCGTCCATCCAGGACACTCCCAAAGACTTCTGTATCTTTCTATATTTTTTCTTAAATAATCAGAATTGTGGAACCAGCTCTGCTCATGTCCAGGAAAAGGTGAGAAAAAAGACATGAACAACAAACTTCTGCAGAAATCTTTACTTTGCTTAAAGTAGCACCAGCACAAGCTGCAATTGGTCACTTCTCTTATGTAACCCTGATATCAAATTAGATAAGGGGTACAAGATATATTCTTTCCAGAAATTAGTATAAGCTGTAAGAAACTGGGATTATTTTGTGATTCAAAACCAGCGAGTCTTAAATACGCTCGTGCTTAACATGGCATTGACCCATCACTGTTGAAGATGTCACTATATGTAGCTACTTTTCATTTAATTCATCAACCAACCACTTTAAATGTAGGTCAGGTTAACATATGAAGAAGCTAAACAATAATCTGACTAATACATGTAACCGATTTAGTGACATATCAGTCAGTTAGAAAACCTGGACATATATTATATAGTTACATGAAGTTGTGGATTCAGTATGTTGAAACAGATGGTGATTCGGTACTTGGTTGACTTTGGTCCTAATGCTGCTTGATGATGAGCAAGTTCTTCAGCATGTCAAATGAGTTTCCATCAGGCTCTACTGAGACCAATCCCTGGTCCTTGCTGTGCACTTGAAGGAAGCCATATTGGTCCAGACCCACCACCTGAGCCTCCAGGCCGTCCTCGGTCCACAGCCGCACCTGAGATCCGCTGGGGTCAGAGCACAGGGAACCACTTTTACAGTTCAGCTTCAAAATGTCACAACAGGGTTCAGGAATTTTTTTTTTTTATAAAACTCTGTAAAGCTAAACAGAACATTTACTTCTCAGTGTAGACCAAGAACCTTAATGCCTTACGCACCAGAACTGTGAACACCAGAACTTTGTGTGTATTAATGTACCTAGTTTGTCCTACTTCTTGTTTTAAATGGTACTGACGAGGGATCCACTGGTATCGATACTGATGCACTATTTAAAACTATTTCATCCAAAGTGTTGTTATGAAATGTAGTGTTTCCATTAGTTCCTACAGACTGTTGTTTGTAGTGGGGCAGTAGAGTTATGGCTACCTTAAGTCATAACAAACCATCATCAAATTTATAAAAGAACAATTGCAGTGATTTTTTCATGCAGTGAGCCATTCAGGTTTTAAATCAGGGACAAACAGAGAACTGATATTGCATGGTTACTTACGATTAAATCAGTGCTTCACTTGGCTGAAAATTTCACAAACTGCTTGTATGCATGAACTAGCTGAATGGGGCTGTCTGTGGTACACACCTGTGAAGCCATCTCTTATAGTAGGTGGGGAGGACAGCGTCTGGGCCACCCAGTTGGAAGCTGGTGATCAGGGCGTCCAGGCAATTGACAGTTCGAGCAATGAGCTGGTCGCAGCTAAGCGGCTCCAGGCTGCAGTCATGCTGTATGTTGTACCGCCTGATCAGGTCATTGATGCACACAGTTGGATTGCTGTTTGTCACATTAAACCCACAACCTGTAGGGTACATCGTGATTAAGAAATATGTTATTATGAGCACACCTTGTGACACTTTTACTTTACCTTTACTGGGAGAAACAGGAATCATTCTACAGGTAAAACATTAAGACAAAGGAGTATTTCAAGATCTGCAAAAAAAAAAAAAGTCCAATCAGGAAATCTCAAGGCACAGGATCCCTTACAGTGCATCAAAGTAAGTCAGGGAGACAACAGAGAATAGTCATTGTCATTCAAAACTGAGTGTTTGTGTGAGAGAAGCACTAGTGATGGAGTTTAAAAGACACGAGGACACTGTGAAGAAGCTCAGTAACAACACGATGTGAAAGTAAAAAGTAAAAAGAGTTTGCATCAGCAAGGAATGTGGGAAACTGATGCAAAAGCCATTTTCAGACATGACAAAATCGCTGGCATCATTTGAAAGAGGAGTGTTTTTGTCCTCTCTAACGGGCTGCATCACTGATGGAACCTTTATTGTCATTGTTGAGGGTCACTCACCTCCAGTTGGCTCAACAAAAACTGAACTTATTTTTAGCAGAGTCACTGTGTTTTCTCAGTTTGAAAATCTGGGGCAAATACCATAATGAGTCCAAAAGGGGTGTATTAGTGGGATGTGAGAGGGCTTATGTTAGCATATTATTAAAAAAACAAACCATCTATTAAAGCTCCAGTCTCATTAATTATGGTTAGATGAAAGTCGAGTAACTTTTCATTGAAGCTGTTACCTATTAGTAGATGAAAAGTTGATCCTATTACAGTGGAAGTCACCAGGACTCCCCCAAGCTTCATCAAGTTACTGTAGTAGATGTCATTGGGCCACTTCACCCGCAGATCTATGTCCTAAAGAAAGTTGAAATATGTTCAAACATCATTGATTCTAAACATAATACATTTACATTTTATACACTGATCTAAAGCAGCATCGGTAATACATTACTACACTGTGATAACATGTTCATGTCAGGCAGTATGACGTTTTGCTACTACAGACCACTATTACTTTAAGTGTAAACTGATGAGTCAAAACACCAGACTGAAAGCCCAATGCACTGTTCGTCTGTCACATGCAGCCAAAACAGCTCAGTTGCACATAGACCTGTGGTGTCCTGTGGTATTTATCACCTAATCTGAGCAGCTGACCTGTAAGACAAGTTATAGTTGGAGTCCAACATATCCGCCAACATCCTGTCAGCAGTTTATGGTTTGTCCTTCTTCAGACCACTGTCAGTGGGTACCACTGTTAACTAGGAGTGTCCCCACAGAATGCTGCATTTTCTGGCTCTTGTCAAGTATCTCAGGTCATATCAATATGTTGACTATGAAAGCAGACTGTCCACTTGCTGCTTAACACAGTCTAGACCTTGACATTCACCTTTGCTGTTACATTCAACCGTGACTGGTCATGTTTTGACTCATTTTTGTATGCACAGGTGTATCACACAGGACAAGAAATCACAAAGGATGTGCAAGCTAAACAGTCTGAAAAATATTTGAGTGCTGGGAAGTGTGCAGGCTGATACCTGGTATCCTGGAAGTGTGCGAACGGCCTCCACGACGGCTAGAGCTGCCAGATGCTGCACGAAGGGAATCCTCTGTCCAAGTGTGGAGCTCAGCTCGACCTGGACCCTCAGAGTGAACATGGCACAACCCAAAGGGCTGAGCCAGACATTCCTGCCACGACCTGCAGCAGCAGCAAGCACAGGAAACACATAGGTGGATGCTGAGTGGTGCTAAACAACAATAACGAATAAGATAAACAAAAACAAAAATAAACACAGCTGAAACTTTGGTGTACATCTGAGACATGTGTACATGTTGTTTCTGCAGGCTGACACTGAAGCACTCACCTTTTCCCTGGCATTGTTGAGCTGCTACTGCTATTAAACCCACATCTTTTGGAATGTGGACAGTCAGCCTAAAGAGAGACAAGAACAGACAGAGTTGGATTAGAGTGGTTAGGCTGATGTTTATTACACCTTTAGTTAATGCTTTTACTTTAACCTTACTAGTACTGTGTACCACCTTTCTCACTGAGAAAATTGAATACTACAATACAATATATAATTACTATTATTACATAGCGGCTGTTATGTGTCTGGAAGTTCAGGTGATATCATCACCTAGGTTGCTTTTCAAGAAATTAAATGATGGGTGCATTAATTCACTAGCTGTACAAAAGACAAACATTCAGTGTTTGTTTTTTTTCTCAGTTTTGTATGATCGTTAACCAAAGCAGATTCAGAAAGCAAAGGTTCACATATCTTTGCCACTGACAGATTTGTAATATAGGAAAATCTTCCAAAACAAATGAATGACTAGGTATAGTCTATCCCAGCCGACTCAAGGTGAAGGCAGGTTCACCTGGACAGGTCACCAGTCTATCACAGGGCTACACTTAGAGACAGACAACCAAGCACACTCACATTCACACCTACGGACAATTTAGAATCACCAATTAACCTCAACATGTTTTTGGACTGTGTGGGAGGAAGCCGGAGAACCCGGAGAGAGCCCACTCTGCACGGGGAGAACATGCAAACTCCACGCAGAAAGATGTTGAAGCTGTTAACACTGTGCAGTCTGTTTAAAAAAAAAATAAAAAAATAAAAAAATATATATATACAATTAAACTCTCATAAAAGTGCTGACTTTTGTTTCATTAAGTTCCAACTGTGGGGATTGTATTTTAAACATAGTTGGTGGTTTAATTTTTCATCAAAGCAAAAACTCTGTTGTTCTACTTCGAAGTGAAGCAGTACGGCTTTAAGGTGAAACAATTATGAATCAATTAATAGTTAAGTGATACTACACTGGGGTGTTCTCGCTGTGTAGTATCTCTGTTGTATCAAATGGAAGAAGCAGCACTAGCGCTCACAAAATGTCTTCAGAAATGCTCGAGCTTAAATTTAAGATCATCCTGCAAGGCTGCATTTATTAAGTCAGTCAGCATTTCATCATTGCTGACTTATAAGTTACTTTCTTCAGGGGGCTGTGTTACTATCAATAAGCAAAGAGGAAATGTTTGCACATTCTCTCATCTACAAATGTAATTAAAGCTGATCCAGGGACCCAATGCAACCGCCCTCTATTGGCTAATGAACAAAGAGTGTGAAGCTGCCAAAGCAGAGGAGGGCCTTTCTACTATTGTGATGCAAAGTTGGTCTGTGTTAAATCAGCTTAAGTGCTGTCCCAGTAAGAGGGTTCCCCATCTCTGGTCAGACTGAGCTTTGTAAGACTTCTCAAAGAACTGCTTCTCAAAGGGATGGATGAATAATACAATCTAGATTCTGAGATCAGGAGGTTTGATGGGGCAAGCTGTTAACTTTGTAATGCAGACTAAATTAGCTATGAGTTTATAAGCCTTCAGATGGGTTGAGGTGTTTAGTGTGATTATGATATCCAGTGTAGTGAAAAAGTATTTGCCCCCCTACAGGTATCTTCTATTTTTCATATTTGTCACACTGAAATATTTCAAATCATCAAACTAATTTTAATACAAGACAAAGATAACATTTTTTAAATGATGATTTCACTTATTAAAGGAAAAACACTGTCCAGCCCCACCTGTTCTATGTAAAAATGTAACTGCCCCCTCAGCTACCAATCATCCTGTGGAACGTTTTGGAAGACATGGGTCCCGTTACATCTGGTGTAAAGCTCATGCTGCATTCCAGTAGAAGAACATGATACCAACAGTGAAGCATGGTGGTGGTAGTGTGATGGTTTGGGGCCGCTTTGCTTCCACAGAACCTGGAAGACTTACTAATTATGGAACCATGAATTCTGCTCTCTATCAGAAAATCCTCCTGAAGAATTTCCCCCCATCAGTACATGACCTAAAGCACAAGCAGCAGCATGACAAAGACCTAAAGCACACCAGCCAGTTCACATCTGAATGGCTCAAAAAGAACAAAATTAAGGTGAAGTGAGAGTCTGGACTTGAATCCAATTGAGATGCTGTGGCAAGACCGAAAAATGGCAGTTTATGCTCGAAAACCATCTGATGTGGCCGAATTAAGACTATTCTGCAGAGAAGAGTGGGTCAACATTCCTCCATGGTGATGTAAAAGACTGATCACAAGTTATGGAAAACATTTAACTTATCCAAAACGCTTTACAATGCGTTTCTCATTCACCCATTCACACACACATTCATACACCAATGGTGACAGAGCTGCCGTGCAAGGTGCTGCCTGCCATTGGGAGCAACTTTGGGTTCAGTGTCATGCCCAAGGACACTTCCACTGTGGAGGGGCGGGGATCGAACTGCCAGCCTTGTGATTGGAGGACAACCCGCTTTACCACATGAGCCCCAACCGCCCTGTCTGCATTTAGTAGGACCACAGGTTGAAACTGGGACTTCATTTGGAAATGTACCAGATTAGATCAAGTTCTACATTATCAAATACTACAATGCTCAGTTACTGATTTATTTCCTTATATCTAGTCCTGCCTGATCTTGTCACGAATAATAACAACATCATGTTTAAAATGTCATAGTGACAACACTTCAACTCTCATTCTAAACTGGACGTCTATCATGTATGATCAGCTCAGGTGACATTATAACACACATTTCTTTCAACTCCTGTGCAGCCCAGGCCCATGTTTACATGTTAGAACAAGGTAACATGACAGATGAATGCATGCCTTCTGAGATTTCTACATACTATTGACTGATAGAATCAGTGCGTGGAGCAACTTAAACAACTCACAGTTCTTCTTTAAGAGTGTGTTCGATTGAGCAAATACAACGTAGGTTTTATGAATGACATTTGACCACAGGGCTGTCTGTGCATCAGTGCAACCCAACAAAACCAACTGAGATGAGTCCTTTCTTTAAAAAGGTTATGGTTATGTGAAATCTCTCAGTTAAACTGTTATGCATATTACATTAGTGATTTATGCTTTCCATATGTAGTTTGGAATCAGGAACTTTCGCATCAGATCTGTGAGTATTTAGTGGCTCTAAATGCTCTGCTATATGTTACTCTTTTATGTTGGAGAGTGCCACATTAAGAACTGAAAACATAGCACGTAGGTCTCAACATGTAAAAGGCTCAAATTAATTTCTGGAATCTACTTATAAGATAGGAGGAAAATCATTAATGTTTTTACACACTCAGTGGGTGGCTGTCAATAAAGGAGGAGGAGCATGTGCCTTAAAGTGTTCCTGTGTACTCAAGGGATCTCTATATAGGCCAGCTCAAGGTTGAAACGCTAGTGGTGATTACATTCCTCTAAAAAGTTAATCTCATTTTGAAAGCCCATTCACTGAATATTGCAAAGGCCTCCACAAGCCCAGAAAAAAGTTTGAATGGATTACACAGATTCTCATTCATGTCAACAAAGGGATGCAAAGTCATGAGAATAAGCATTTTAATTATTGTAGGGCTTTCTTTGTCCATCTTAGCCACAGAGGCTTTTCAGGAGACGCCACCGAAAAATACTTACAGAACGGGCCACTATTTTGGTAATAGTGAGCTGTACCAAAAATGATAAGATGGACATGCACTATATGACTCGAAGTAGTGAATTCAGTGAGCAAAATGTAACTCTTCAATACCAGCCCATACATAAACATGCTGCACACATATGTGACACATCATTGCGCTTTGGGCTAAATCTCAGATACAGAATTATGTTAACACATGATAAACTATTGATTTGGGGTTTATTACTTAGATCAGTCCATTTAGTTGTTTTCTACATGTAGGTAACATATAATATTACAGAATGTAATAATATTATGCTTCACAGTGCTGTCAAATATAGTCATTGATTTCGTGCAGATGGGCCACTTCTGGAGGAGCAGGCAATATCACAAGGTTTAATATTATCGTCTGTGGCACGACATACTCGTTACAAGTAATATATGTTTGGGTTCAAAGGCAGCCACTCCATTTATGCTACTAAAATATAACTACAACTTTTCAACCAGCCAAAACCAGCCCATGTCACCACGCTGTTCAGATCGCTTCACTGGCATCCAGTTGCTGCCAGCATCAATTCAAAACTCTGACACCACAAAACTACAATAAGAACAGCTCCCTCATACCTGAACTCTCAGTGTTTTAGAAAATACTGAAGACCCGGCTCTTCACTGAACACCTCTGCACTTGACAGACTGGGGAAAAGTAGCATATCTGACAGTGAAGCGAGGCATTGTCCCAAGAGGAAGAACATGGCTCTCTGAATCCCTGCTCAGAACTCTTTGTTTTAGGGGCAGCTGAGCCAAAGGGGTCGCCCTCACAGACCCAGGAGGTCAGGAGAACGAGCCCACCAGCTGAGTCATACGCAAGATAAAAAAGGGTAGAGGAGGACCTGTGATCATACGCTGGAAAGACGGTAATGCAGGCACCATCTTTCTTCAATTTTCTCACACATAAGGACAAGGCAGGCAATGCCATAAAACTAAAAGAGGCGGTCGTATTTTGCTTTTGTCACCCAAAGCATGTGTCAGTTTGTTCATCTGAAACAGACCAGGCATTTTAGAAACAGTCTGATTTGATGTAAAGCTACTGATCCAAAATAAAATGAATTCAACAGATTCCACCATTACTTTTACTAATACATATAACATGTAATCAGGTGGATTTGATGTGGTCAGTAAAGATATTTTTCTGAAAGCCAGTTATCTCCCAAACGAGCCCCTCCTCCACCAAAAGCCCTCTCACTTCCTAGATTAAAATATCTCAGATTAAAAGATTTTTTTTCTGCCACCGCTGCTCATTTTTGAAACAGGATTTGCCATGCATAAGCGTGTTTGCATTGATCATCTGGCAGCATCAAAGAGGTGATCAATAAGAGAGGACAAACTAATCTGTAAATGTGATTAATTTAGTTAATCTTGTTTACTGAGGAAAAGCAAGAAATTATCATTTCCAAATAGCACCATTGGAAGTCATCAATGAC